AAAAAAAAAGAATTCTGAGCTCTTTTGAATAGGAGATCTGGTCAAAGTTTCCTAATGTTCCAAAGCTAAAAATGTTTTAAAGGAAGACTTAACAACTCCAGCATTGCCCCTACCCTCTAAAGAGATGTTGAAATGGAAAAAACATTACTCTGTAAGTAATTGTAACAAACCTAATCCTCACCAAAATGAATGTCAATGCAACTGTGGAACAAGGTATTTTATACTCTATGTGAAAATGTTGTCAAGTATGAAAACAGCAAAAAATGTTATCATACCTGAATATTGCCAGTCATATGATCACAAAACTGGAAATGTAATATCCATAATTTGGAAGACAGTAATGTACCTCCTTATAATTTTTCTAAGAGGGATGAAGTTATATTAAGGCCCCTGCTTCAGATCCTGTCACATTTATTCATTATAAGCAAGGAAAGGACAGCATTTGTAGTCAACATCTTCTTACATGTCCCCGTCTAGCCATCTCTGGACCCAAGGGGCCCTGCATCCCAGAGGAGTCCAGATCCTGTACAACTCATTAAATACACAATAATTACCCAGGACCTATCCAGGAAAAATTTTCTCAGTCTCCTGAGGTTTGGGATACTGATGGCCATTGAGCACTGCCGAATATACTTTTGGAGAAGGTGAAAATGATAAAAAAGAAGATCTATTTATTCCTACCATATTCCTGTTATGGAATGGACATGACTTATTTGTAAATTAAACAAATGTAGACATCCATGTAGGCTAAGGGTGGGCTATTTGAAAACCACTGCAGAAATTATAAATACTTTGTGTTTAAGGAAATTTGCTGCTTTGATCTTGACATCAGTTTGTGGGTATGGAGTTGTTCTCAGAATTCTTTTGCTGCTCTCTAAATTTCCTTGGCTTATAGCATGCCTCCTCATTCATTTCTCATCCTGGTGATTCATGTTCCTTTCTTCACTTTTAATGGATTTTTTAGTACTCTATTAAAAGGACAAGCTTTTGGTTTCATTAACTTTTTTGATATTTCATCTTCAATTTCAACTGGTTTCTACCGTGTGTGTGTGTGTGTGTGTGTGTGTGTGTGTGTGTGTGTGTGCTTTTCCAGTGCATGTGGAAGGCTCATATACATCTGGAATTCTCCGGTATTCTAGTGGAAGGATCATATAAACCTGACAGTCACTGACAATATCTTATGTAGCA